CTACGGAAAAAGACTAAACCGGCAGCGCGTGTTAGGCGCAGACTTATTCCCTACTTAGGATTCGGGATAAATTCCCCGTACCTGTGAGGCACAAATTTTGGGAGTTGAAAAAGGTGGTGTCTTCTCTTGGGGCAAAGACGAACCCGAAATAGGAGAGGAAGAATTTTATATTCTATCTCCCGACACTTAAGAAAAAGAATTTTATATTCTATCTTCAGCTGGAAAGGAGACTCGAGGTGGGATCTCCACCCCCAGAATCCGGAAAGGTGAAACTAAGAGTGAGATCTCCACTCCGAGAATCGAAAAGATTCAGATAACCCTAATTGTTGGAAGGTTTGATTACCGAACTAAAGATGAATTTCTCATTTATCGAGAATGAATTGTGGTTTTGGTCCTAACTGTAGGAAGGTTTGACCAAGCAGGAGTTTGAGATGACCCTAACTGTAGGAAGGTTTGATCACTCGATTTGAAAGTGAACCTCAGGGGATTTTGATTATGACCCTAACTGTAGGTTTGACCTGAAAGCAAAGGGAGTGGAATACAAGTAGCAGTAGAAATACTGGTTTGTACTGGCCACTCGATGAAGGGTTTTGACGTTAAGTAATCAGGACTTAACACGTCAAGCTTTGGAAATTGCCATGAATTGGTGGACAGAAAATTTAGTGGACCCATCGTCAATTGACTTGATCAGTGGGGGATTTTTGTGAGAAAAGATTAATCTGTCAAAAGGACCGAATCTCGTCTCAACAAGATAACTCATGAGAATTAGTGAATTTGATAACAATAATGGAAAACATTCCGACATTTAGAGTTTAAATGTGGATGTTTTACTTATCACTTTTATAGTGATTGGGTTATCCCTAAGAATATCACCCGTGGTATTCTTTCGGGAACTTCCCGATATATGAATAATCCACCCCCAGCTTCCCTTGTGGAACTCGGTCCGACATTGTACTCAGTTACATGACCGAGTTATCCTTAAGAATATTACATATAAAAATTCTCCACGAACTTCCCGTGAAAGAAATAGTTTAGACTCATATACATGTTGGAGTATTAGGGAGCAGTTTAACCTCTTATACCGGTCGAAGGATTAAGAAGCAGTTTATACTCTTATACTTGTCGGAGTCTAGAAAGGAGCAGTTTATACTCTTATACTTATCGGAGTGTAGAAAGGAGCAGTTTAACCTCATGCACCTATTGGAGGATTGAGAAACAGTTTATACTCGTATACTCTTTGGAGTCTAGAAAGGAGCAGTTTAACCTCATGCACCTATTGGAGGAGCGCCATTCTAACCTGGCCTATCCCAGCGATATGACGCCGGTTTCAACCAAGGTTTGGATGCTATTCTTGAGAGCAAAGCAATCCTTGGTGGGATGAACGACCCTCCTGTGGTATGCACAGTACTTTGGGTCCGTAGTGTTGTCAGCTTCCTCCTGATTTGTGATAGGTGGTAGCTTGATCTTGTTGCCTCCAAGGAGGGATTCGAAGATGGCTGGAACGTCTTCGTCCTTGAAAGAGTACTCTTTTTGGAGTCTCGGACCTGAAGTCTTTTGCTGCCTTCGGGATTGCTGTTGTGACGCTTGATTAGCACCAACAGCAGGTGCAGGTGCCTTGCCCTTACCACGAGAAGCAAAGTTCGAGTTCAGAGGATTAGCCGTCGGTAGGTTCCTCTCGGCCTTCTTTCTTCGGAGGAAGCGTTCGGCTTGTTCACCGCGCACCTTCAAGTCTTTCCAAGTGTCAGACGGTGCTGTTCCCATTGCTTCCAACACGTCCAGTGTAAGGTTGTTGTGGCAAGTCTGGAGAATGAACTCCTCAGTGATTGGGTCCCGACAGTTCATCGCCTTGTTCCGGAACCTTTTGACGAAGGTGTCGACCAATTCCCCGTCTTTTTGTTTCTCATCGAGCAACGTTCCGATGGATATCTCGGTGTCATCATCGAAGAAATTAGCGAGGAATTTTGTCTCCATGTCGTCCCAGCTATTCACGCTTCCTGGCTTGAGGCGATGATACCAATCGAAGGCGGCTCCACGAAGAGTGCCAATGAAGGACCGTACCATCAGAGGCTCATTACCAGAGATAACACCCAGGTGCGATTGGAAGTAAATCAAATGCTGCGTGGGTGAACCCTTCCCATCAAACAGCGTGAAGTTAATTAGACTGAACTTCGCCGGATAGGAGATTGATTCCCATTCTCGTGGGTACGGACAAGGAATGCCCGTCTTCTTCATCTCTTGAGCGGAAATCAACGTATTGATTTTGCTCTCGAGATTTTTAATCTTCAGGTTTTCACCTGAGTCTTCATCAGCATTCTCGTTACCACCCCCTGCATTGACGGGAGGATTATTAGCATTATGAGCTTCTTCATCTTCCAGATTAATCTGGTTACGACGATTTGGCTCGCCTTGCTGGTTTGTCAGCGCTTGGATTTGCTGGTCATGCATTTCTCTCATACTCTGCATGGCCATCTGCATTTCGTGCTTGAAGCTCTCCTGCTGTTTAGCCATGGCTTCTTCGAGCATCTTGGCCACTTGTTCGGCGCTTATCATCAGCGACTCGCGGGATTGTCCATCGCTGGATACTGTATTATCCGATGTGACTGCAGAGCAGGCATCTGATTCTTCATCTTCTGAAGGAAGTCTTGTCCGAATCCTACCATAAGTTTCTCGTCTGATGGCTCCGGACTGCAGACGGGTTACATGCCGGGGTACTTTCGGAATTGACTCGGGATTCTCCTGTGTCGACGTCCCTTTGCTGGTCATATTCGTGGTGACCCTCGGAAATTCTCCATCTTCGACTACTCTTCTTCTTCGTCGGAAATGCCTAGGCCTTGGTTTTGGCGTTTTGGCACTGAGCCTTTCGAAAACTGAAACTCTTTCAGGGACCGCCTGTTTTCGTCGAAAGTCACCTTAGTCATTGATTTCATTAAACTTTAAGCGTTACAAATGAATTCAAATAACAAAAGAACAAAAGATTACAACTTTCTTGAAAATAAACGCAAGATCCGTTTATCGGCTCTTGCTTGCGTGGGTTCTTCGCCGGTGCCGGGGTTAATCCGTGGACGACCTCGAATCAGATCCGGTTGCAGAAAATTGGGCAGAGCTTCTACCTCACCAAGGGGGTATTTGCTTGAAGTCCTGGAATCGACAAAGCGATTTCAGGGCTCTTCTCGAGATTAAGACAAAGCCTAATCTCAAGGAACGGACGTACGAGCTTCAGATCCTTCGAACGGCTTCTCCTTTGCTCCGAAGTTCACCGGGATCTCGCTGTCCTTTGCTGAAATTTCGTGCTCCTTCACTCTCCAATCCAGCAGCACCTCGTCCTCTTGATAAAATTCCAGATCCAGAAAATGGAGGCCTTTGGCTCATATTTATAGGCCTCAAAATGCGGTTATTTGGATAAGAACAAGGGATTTGGCTCTATCTTTAGTCAACAGCAGCCTAACCACGTTTGAGGATGATCTCAAGTCAGTTAAGAACCCCTGGAACCGATAAACCCTGCAAAAAAACCAATTAAAAACCGTCAAAACGTGTTTGGGACATTAGACTGCGCGGCAGAACAATCTGACCCGCGCTCGCGCGGGTCGGAATAATCCGACCCGCGCTCGCGCGGGTCGGAAACATCCGACCCGTGCTCGCGCGGGTCGGAATAATCCGACCCGCGCTCGCGCGGGTCGGAAACATCCGACCCGCGCATGCGCGGGTCGGAATCATCCGACCCGCGCTTGCGCGGGTCGGATTGATCCGTCCCGCGCTTGCGCGGGTCGGATCATTCCGTCCTGCGCTTAGCGCGGGTTCGCCGACGTTCTCCCTTTTTTTTTTGTTTCTTTCTTCCGGGACTTGTTCTTGTTGCGTATTCGTTCGATTTGTTGACTTGTATGCTTCGTCGCGAGACCGATCGTCGAACGCGCGTTGGTTAACATACGCGTGCTGATCGATCCCCGCGGGCTGATTGACGTGCACGCGTTGACTGGCGCGCACGAGGTGATTTGACGTGCACTCGTTGACTGGCGCGCACGAGTTGGTTGACGTGCGCGCGTTGACCGACGCGCACGAAATGATTTGACGTGCGCGCGTTGACCGGCGCGCACGAGATGATTTGACGTGCGCGCATTGACCGGCGCGCACGAGATGAATAGCTAAGATTTTCTCGGTACTGCGTTTATCGTCTGACCGTTATTGAAGCCTTGAACCGGAATTGGTGAGTGGATTTTTTGTTGATATGTCATTGAGTTGACTTTTGGATCAATTGCAACGTGTTGACTGGCGTTGACCTAGGGCTACGCGTTGACCGGCGTTGACCTTAGGGTTTCGCGTTAACCTGAGGAGAACCAGTTTATACTCGTGTACTCCTGGGAGTTTCGGGAATCAGTTTAACCTCATGTACCCGCCGGAGGTTGCCAGGTTATCCTTAAGAATTATCATCTGTAATATTCTCTAGGAACTTCCTGTCAAAATGGGAAACAGTTTAGACTCATGTACCCGTTGGAGTTCGGATTTCGAATATTCCGATAAAAGGCGAATATATCGCGAAATCACCCAAAATATAAAATTGGGTTCCGAATATTCCAAAATAGGTGAAAAATCACGAAATCACCCAAAATATAAAATTGAGCCTCGAATATTCTGGAAATAGACGAAAATTTCTCGCAATTATCTGGGAGACGGAATTGAACTCCGAAAATTCCCAATCTGACTGAAAATGCCGCTCAATTATCCGGGAAATGAAGTCGAACTCTGAACATTCCAAATATGAGCAAAAACACCGTGAAATTGTCCGGGAGATGAGGTTAAGCTTCGAAAATTTCGAAAACGGACGAAAACGGACGAAAATATAGCAAAAACGGGCCTTGAACTGGGTCTGACCCGCGTTCACGCGGGTCAGATGGATCCGACCCGCGTGATCGCGGGTCGGATTGATCCGACCCGCGAGCACGCGGGTCGGACACAAGTCCGACCCGCGGAACGCGGGTCGGAACCTGGGAGAAGGGGTAAAAAACCCCATTTTTCTTTCTCCATCCTTCTTCAAGTTCGGTCCCAGTTCCTTCTTCTTCTTAATTCGGTTTCTTCTCCAAGCTCTGGTCCTTTGAGAGCTCTTCTTCCTCAAGAATTCGAACAAGATTAGAACTCCTCAACCCCTTTAAATTCTTCACTGATTCCTTCCTCTCTTCTTCCTATTTGGATTCGAGCAAAGGAGAAAATCCCAATCTAGGGTTTCGGCCAATTGAGCTCTTCTTCCCCTTTCAAGCTTCAAGAACTTAGGTAAGTCTCCTCTTCATGACTTATTTAATTTCAGTTTTGAACTTTTGCTTTTGAAATCATGGGCTTTGGTTTGATGGTTGAACCCTAACTTTTGAATTTGGAGAAAACCGAAAAGTGATGTTGGTTGAATGTGTGGCCGAGTTTCCCTTCATGATTGCATGCATAACTTGTTGATTGAAACCCTAACTTTTCACTCTTGAGGGAAAACCGAACCTTGGATGTAAGGTTTGAGAAGTTGGCCGAATCCTCCAGGTTGACACTGGCAGGAATCTATGCATAGCCGAATTCTTCCTTTGATTGATGATTATGGATTTGAGTCTCAAACTTGTACCTGACTGATTTTTTTTTTATGGTTGATGTTCAATGATAATTTGAACATAGCCGAATTCTTTTCTTTCCCCCGGTCCATAACGTCTCTGCTGATAGTGAAGACATCACAACCACATGAAAACCCATAACAACCCTTAAGCTTTTGCAGATATCTCTCCAGCTTAGTGTCAATGTAATCTTTAACCACATTGTTTTCTGGAGAAAATGGTTGCTCTTCACCAGCGCCTTCACCAACCAAAGCTTGTAGTAATAAGCCTCTTGTGTTGCTTCCTTTGATGAAGAATACCAAGTCCATCTAGCACTGACTCGTCCAATTCTTTGGTCTGCCGCAACGTAGAAAATAAGGGCAAAGAACCCCACACATGACTCCCATACCCATTTATGATAAATGAAAGCAATATTTCCCTCAATGTAATATTTGAACCATAACCATTGCGCTATGGACTTGGACAATGCACTGAACTCAGATTAGCTCCTGAACTTTCAGAATCTTCTTCCTCAACAACAGAATCCGGATTTGTACATAAGTATTGGTTTGTGTTGATGACTTGCACCTGAACTTAAGTATTGGCCGAGAATTTTTTGTATGCTTTGAATTCAAGCTTGTATATGGCCGAATCTTTGCATATGATTGAATTCGTATATATGTGAATCCTTGTACATGATTGCACTCTTGTATGGTTCGAACTTGTACATGATTGAACTCGATGTGACTGAATCCAAACTTGTATGTGGTCGAAATAACTTGAATCCCAACTTCTATATGGCTCGAGAACTTCATATGTCTTGAATTTGTACATGTGATTGAACTCTTGCATATGGTTGAACTCTTGTATATAATTCAAATCCGAATTTGTATATAACTGAGCTCTTGTATTATCGAATTCATATGTAACTGAACTCGTGCATGCCTTGAATTCGAGCTGTTCTTGTATATGATTGAGCTTGTGAATCCACATGTTGACACGATCGAGGCTTTATATTTGACTCTGTGACACTTAACTTGAACCGAGAATGTCGTATAGGTTTAATTGGAACCTTAATTGGAAAATTCCATTTTGTAGAATTTCAATTAAAGATTCACAATTTCCCTTTTAGTCTTCGATTCATGTATCTTGATTCTTGATCTGACTGAGCTGTTGATCTTTATTGCAGATTAGCTATGTCGACGCTTTGGACCGGCTGGAGCGCGAATTCCGACGGTTACAAGAGTTGAAGACTGCTGGTAGCTCAACGTACACAGCCATTTGGATGGAATCTCGTCTACAAGCATGGCACGACACTCGGGCTTCGGCTGGACTTGAGATTCAAACGCAACAAAGTCGGGTGGATCAAATGGAGGCCTTGGCTATCTTGGGGATGGCGAAGGGTGACTTGGAGCGTTCACGAGTTGTGATATCCGGAAAATTGGAGCTCTCGAAACAGAAGTTAGCCAAGATCCAACAAGAGGCTGCGAAAACATTATCCCTCACCGAGGAATCCTTCAAGGTTGCATTGCAGTGTGAGCTTGAGCGAACTTATACAGAGGAATTGACTAAACTTGAACAGCAAGCCTGTAGTCACAAACTTCATGTAGATTGATTGTAACTCTTGTACCTGCAAACTCAATTTTATTAATAGAAAATATGTCTTTTTCATTCATTATGTCTCATTTATTATGATGTCTTACTCCGTATGGAATAATCAACCACTACGTATGGAATAATCAACCATAATACTTGTGGGATTTTTGGCAAACCCCCAGCCTTCAACGGGTTTGATGAGCCTTTACCGACTACCGTTTGAGTCGGGCTAGTGTGCGGATTATTTTGAATCCGTTCCGCACATAACGTTGTGCTAAGAGAATTAATTCACTTAGACTTGGTGCTATGGCTTTGAATACATAGGCTTCGTCTTTCTCATGGGAGTAGACTAAACGGCAACGCGTGTTAGGCGTTGACTTACCCCTTCTTACGCTTCGAGGTAAATTCCCCAGGCTTAAACCCTGGTGTCTTTTTCAATCGGTGAAAGACTAAACCGGCGACGTGTGTTAGACGTAGACTTAAGATTTTTGGCAAACCCCTAGCCTTCAACGGATTTGATGTGCCTTTACCGATTACCGTTTGAATCGGGCTAGCATGTGAATTATTAAAACCCGTTTCACATGTAACGTTGCGCTAAGAGAATTAATTCACTTAGACTTGGTGCTATGACTTTGAATACATAGACTTCGCCATTTCTTACAGGAATATGGCACCCGGCAACGCTTGTTAGACGCTGACTCATCCCTACTTAGGATTCAGGATAAAAGTCCCCAGACTTATATTCTGGTATCTTTTTCATTCGGTGAAAGACTAAACCGGCAACGCGTGTTAGGCGTAGGCTTATCTCTATTTAGGAATCGAGATAAAATTCCCCGGGCATAAAGTGTGCGGATTTGAGAATTACGTCTTTTCTCAGGGTAAAGACAAACCCGAAAAAGAAAGAGGAAGAATTTTATATTCTATCTTTCAACACTGAAGAGGAAGAATTTTATATTCTGTCTTTAGTTGGAAAGAAAACTCGAGGTGGGATCTCCACCCCCAGAATCCGGAAGGATGAAACTAAGAGTGGGATCTCCACTCCGAGAATCGGAAAGATTCAAACGACCCTAACTTTTATAGGATTGGTTGTTTGATCTAAGAAAAGAGTCCTCATTTATTGAGGGGAAATTCCAATTTCGACCCTAACTTTTATAGGTTTGGCTGAAAAGGAAAAGATGGAAGTCTTTCGTTTATCGAAAGAGATGACTCGATCTTAGTCCTAACTATCTGCAGGTTTGACTAAGTGAGGTTGGAGACAATCCTAACTTTTACAGATTTGATTGCTCGAATTGAAAATAAACCTCTCGTTCATGGAAGGAATCGAGAGGAGAATTTGGCTTTGGCCCTAACTTTTATAGGTTTGACCTGAAAGCCAAAAAACCAATTTAAAACTGTCAAAACGTGTTTTGGAACTTTAGACTGCGCAGCAGGACAATCCGACCCGCGCTCGCGCGGGTCGGAATAATCCGACCCGCGCTTGCGCGGGTCAGAAACATCCGACCCGCGCATGCGCGGGTCGGAATCATCTGACCCGCGCTTGCGCGGGTCAGATTGATCCGACCCGCGCTTGCGCGGGTCGGATTGATCCGTCCCGCGCTTGCGCGGGTCGGATCATTCC